TTGGTTAAAGGACCAGCCCGGGACAGAACTGTGATTGGTTAAAGGACCAGCCCGGGACAGAACTGTGATTGGTTAAAGGACCAGCCCGGGACAGCACGGCGATTGGTTAAAGGACCAGCCCGGGACAGCATGGCGATTGGTTAAATTAGTTGTATTTCAACTATTTTTTTGAGCCACAGCACATTTTTTTACATTGAAAAAATCCCACGGCACACCACCAACCAAAAATGTTACAAAATGACACTGTGGCCTAGTAATGACAAAATAGTCTCTCAATTTATTTATACTCATTCAGTGTGAAACCTGAGCCTGTTTGGATGAACTGCCGTAAAAACTGGATGAATGAATTGAAGGCAGACACACGTGAAGCTCTTCCTCAACAGCTCTCAGTCTCTTTCTGTTTTTAGTTTTTATAGCAGTCAGGCTTGAAAAGCTCAGCTCACACAGATATGTTGTGGAAAATGGGAGTAATGTTGAAATAGTCCTAAGGTAGATTAGCAAAGCTTAGCTTTAAACCACGATCTTGTCTCAGTTCAGTTAGTTCCTCCTGCTACTGTATAGTCATGTAATTCCCAACAACTGATGCTGAGCTATATGGGTCCCTAACCCAGTTGAGGGATTCGATGAAGGCTGAAGAGAAATAAAATGACAGCTTCTCCTCAAGAGTTTTCAAATGTTTACCTATTATCTCACACAGAGCAGCAGTGTTGACATCTTGCAAATTCCTGGTGACTGGGAACATGTCAAGGTTGGCACTTTCCACCACCAGAGCTGCACCTTCGAACGGAATCCATTCATTTTATCTGTGCTTGTAAGCAGGTTTTCATTTCGGCCTTGCATTCGTGTGTTCAGTTCATTCAGATGATGAAATATATCAGTCAGGTATGCCAGCCTCGCACACCACTCATCACCTGAGAGCAGCTTTGCGTAATCAGACCTCTCATGTGTTAGAAACACTAAGTTCCTCCCGCAGCTCATACACACGGGCCAGCACCTTGCCGCACGACAACCCTCGGACCTCCGTATGGAGCAACAAAGTTTTATGCTTCCATTTCCTCACACAAAGGTGCAAATATGCGACATTTCACAAGTCGTGTCTTTACAAAGTTTACCATGCGCAACACATCATCCAACACAGGAACTGGGTCTGCTGGTGAAGTCTTGGGAACGAGAGCCTCAAAAAAAAAAAAAAACAGTGTGTAACACTAACATCTGGGTTTCTTCCTTTCACTCTGCTAACGAAGCCTTTGATACGCCCGACCGTGGCTGCGGCCCCATCACTGCAGACACTTGTAGTTTTCCTACTTAAGTCCTCCCTGTTCAAGACATTGTGATGCAACCCGAAAAATCTCCTCTATTTTTTGCTGTTGGCAATGCCTTACAAAATAGGAAGCTCTCTCTGATGGTAACGCACATTGGCCAAGAGTTGAGCATGTCCCCTAATATCCGTAGACTCATCAAGTTGCAACGCAAATTTCCTACTGATGCGCATCTTTTCCAAAGCAACATTTTCGATGTCATCAATACATCTGGCAATTGTGTTATCTGAGAGAGGGACTTTAGCTATTTCTATAACCGCATCTAGGCAGAGCATCTCCTTTACAGTGGCTTTGCAGGCAGGTAATATTAATCATTCTGCCAGTGTGGGACTTTTTTGATTTGGCTACAAGTTAAGCAACATGGTTGCGAGGGCTCTCATTCACCTTTGTGGTTTCTCTCATAAAAGTTGCCCGTTTCTCCATGTGTTCACGCTGGCGAACAAAAAAGTCCACCTGCTCGTTTCGAAGCGACAGGTGTTTCGTGGGGAGGAGGTGTTTAAGCTTACGTGGGACCATGGCACTGCTGGATAGCTTTATCGTGCTTGGCGTGTGCAAGTCAGTGTCATTAAGTCCCTGGTGAAAATAAATCCGAATAAGAGAGCTTTGGCTATATTGCCTCAAGGTCACCATCTTTGCGGTCTTCTGACTACCGCTCATACTAGGGCCTTCATCTCGGTCAGAATT